GCTCTTCGCACCGGGCTCGGAGCCTCCGCGGCCAGGCCAGTCCCCGGGGCCCTCGCTGGCCCCGAGCCCGAGCCGTCGCGGGGGCCGTGGGGAGCTGGCCCGGCAGATCCGGGCGCGCTACGAAGAGGTGCAGCGCTATTCCCGCGGGGGCCCCGGGCCCGGGGCCGGCCGGCCGGAGCGGCGGCGCCTGATGGACCTGGCTCCGGGTGGGCAGGGCCTGCTGCGTCCCCGGTCCCCGCGGGCCCGGCCCCCGCCCGACGGCTTCCCGGTCTGGCCCCCGGCTCCCGGCCCGGGCTCCTCCGGCCCGGGCCCGCGACTGGGCTGCGCCGCGCTCCGCAACGTGTCTGGCGCGCAGTATGTGGGCTCAGGCTACACTAAGGCCGTGTACCGGGTCCGCCTGCCCGGTGGCGCCGCGGTGGCGCTGAAGGCGGTGGACTTCAGCGGCCACGATCTGGGCAGCTGTGTGCGCGAGTTCGGGGCGCGGAGAGGCTGCTATCGGCTGGCGGCCCACAAGCTGCTCAAGGAGATGGTGCTGCTGGAGCGGCTGCGGCATCCCAACGTGCTGCAGGTACGAGGGTGGGATGCGGGGGTAAGTGGGCTGGCTGGGAGCATCCAGGCCCCCAAGCTCTCTGGAAGAGTACTCCTTGGTCTTAAAAAAATGGGCGTCAATGACTGTGCCTAAGTTACTCTGGATGCAGAACCCAGACTATGGCACTACACACTGCACCACCCTGCCTCTCACCCCTGGGTGAGCCACTCTTTACCCAGGGACTCCTGGGGTTCTCAGCTTACACACATCCCTGAAAGGCAGAGGCCAGGACAGAGGGTCCCAAAACTCCAAGGGTGAGCTACTGCTGGAACATAGGACTGCACCTGACTGGAGCTAGGGTATTAAATAAACACCAGGATATTATCTCAAGCCAAAATGACCTCAAGCCAAGACACTCATATCGATGGAACTTGAACCGCACTCCTTTCAACTTCTAGTGACCTTGAAGATGAGATGGGAAAGCAGAGGGATTGGGAAGGGCTTGAAAGAGACCATATAGCCAACTTGACTCCCAGGGAGCCCCCTCGTCCCCCGTCCCACCCAGAAGCCACTGGAAGGGAGTACAGGAGTCAGCCAGAAAATGCACAGCCTTTCCCAGAAGTGACCTGGAGTTCCCCAGGCCTTAGAGTGGGTCTACTTGAACCACCAGTGAAACCTTAGCATCTTCAGTCACTAGATAGACTGAAGACCAGAGGGTCTCAATCCACACTATCTGAGCATATATGGCCAGGAGACTGGGAGGTTGAGTAGCCCAGAGGCCCAGGTCCTCACTGAGTCTCTGCCTCACTGTTCACTGGAAGGACTGGCAAGAAAGCCGAGCCCCTGCCTTGTCCCTTCCAAGCTGAACTCAGAGTGGGTTTCACAATCCCTGCCCTGCCCTCACAGAACACATGGTCTCTCCCAGGTGTCTGTCCTTGAGTCTACCTAGGATGGGACGAACGGTTCCTTCCGCACATCTGAGCCAAGTGAGAGGGGAATGCCGACTACTTTTGGCCTGGGAAACACAGGATGTGTGTGGACTCACCAGCCGTGAATGTGCTCACACTACTACCTCTCAGCCACTCAGATTAACCTTTCTACATCCAGTGTAGAACAGACACCCAGCACCCCAGAGAGATGGAACCCCAGACCTGCAGGAGTAGGGTGGCAGTGCTGACGGGAGCCGCGCCCCAACACTACTTACGCTCCTGCTAGCTTTCAGTCTCCCAGTCCACCCCACCCTGGTCAGACACTTGTGACAGGGTCCCGTACCCTGCACTGGTCTCAGGAGGCCTGGCAAAGCCACCATTGTGTATGGTTGTGTCTCGCTGCATGACTGACATGGGGTCCAGCGTTTCAGGGAGTAAGCAGCTGGTTACGTGGCCATTCTAACTAGGAGGATCTTGGTTTTTTTTCGCTTCCCAGGCACTCTTGGGAACTTTCTGGAAACCCTGGCATACCAGCCAGATTCTGAAGGGGTGGAGAGGCCTTGAGTGACTTAACAGGACATTCAGTGTTAGTTAATGGACTCAAGGCCCCTGGGTTAGATCCAGTTTGACATTTGATGTCAGTGAGAAGTTGACCTCACCCAACTTCTCAATAAGCACACAGCCAGCCCCCTACCTGACACATACCACAGATGGTCCTCCTCTGTAATGTTAGGCCCCTAATGCCAAAGGCACCAAAGAAAAATTAGGCAGTGGAACAATTTTCACCCATGCTCTTGCCCAGGCAGTCTGTTGGATTGGTTGTATGACTCTCGTAAGATCAGAGGCCGAAGTTAGTGACCCTAGAGCACAAGAGTTGCTAAGGTAACCAGGATCCTAGTGAAAAGTGGGGGGCCCTAGCGTGTTTTAGGAACTACTTTGGGGGTGGGTTCCCTTCGCCCCCCCATTTACCCCATGGTCCCCAGGCCAATTTCCCTCTAGACATCAGCTAGGCCACTTCTGCAGGCACGGAAGACTGTAGAAAGGTCTTCCTGCTCAGAAGGGTTCTGGCCAGAACTAAAAATCATGTTGTTTTAATACCTCTTAATCATTTAAAATTTCAAAACCGTTTGACTGTTTGTTGAACTAGGGAGGAGCCAAAGAACGATTCTAGGGCTCACCCTAGCCAGGGCTCCCAACGCACTCCCCCATCTCTTAGCAGCCCAAAGTTGTGCTGTTCTCTCTCTCTCTCTGCCTCTATAACCCAGGGTCACAGGGCACAAAGGTCTTCCCTACCCCCATCATCCTGGAGTCTCAGGCCTCAAATGAGCCCCAGGCCTTCTTGAGCCCACATTCTAGCTGTGCTGCAGTATATTTCTTCCCCCAAACAAACAAAAGATGAGACTGAAATGCTCAGCCTCACGCTTGCTGAGAGTGGGGGGGTAATGATGTCTTTTTTTTTTTCCCCAAAGGGTGTTGATTAATACCTCGTTAACAGCGTATTTAACGACCTCCGGTGTTTAATAACCTTCAGAAGTTTCCCACAAAGGCTCAGACTCTGGGCAAGAAAATGAGAACCAGGCCCCAGGGCTGCTCTCCTTACCTTCTCTCTACCCCACCAGGGTCTGGGGCCTCCCTGAGCTGATGAGGAGTGTGGAGGAAGAGGGCAAAACAGGGTACCTGGGTCTGCACCCTGCTCCCTCCCAAGTCACACCCCAAGTGATCTGGTGACCCAGCACCAAGTTTTGCCTTCCCTCATGAAAAACTAAGCAGCTGGCTCCACGAGGGGGGCTTCCAGGGAGGAAAGGGGGTACATGAAGGCCTTCAGGGTGGCTGGGAATGGTGAGAACGCTGGCCTGGGTGGTGAAAGTGTGCAGGGTCATTTAGCCTGTGGGCTGGGTGACATCCCCCACCCCCACTCCTCCGCCCATAGATCTTTCTCTCTAGTCTGGCCTGAACAACTTGGCCTTTGTGTTCCTACCCCACAGGGTGCTGGTTGTTTGGAGCCTATTCTGAACCCCAAGTGGCTGTGAAGATGTTGGGAGAGGCTGAGAGAAGCAGGGCTCCTTGTGGACACTGGTGTGGGTGTTAGTAACAATGTCAGGCTGTGCCTCCCCTGGCCAACTGGGTGATACCAAGACCCTCCCCTGGATAATATGATGTCCCCCATATCAGCTCCTTGTGACCATGCTCCCCAAAAAACTGATCTTCCCTGAGAACCATCTCTCACTACTACCCCCACTGAAACATGTCAGTCACCCTCCCACATATGCAAAGAACACCAACGGATATACCTGTGCTTTTCTTCCCACAAGAGCAGAGCAGAAAGGGGGTGGGGGGAGAAGCAGCTGCCAGAAAGTAGAAATGGTGAGGAATAGACTAGGATTGACTGGCGTGGGGAAGGAAGTAGGATAACCATTTGCTGGCCTATGTGTTAGCAAACAGTATTCTTGGAAAGAATCAGGTTGTAGAAAACCAGTAGCATGATTTTGAATCCTAGTCCTATGCTTATTAGCTGTGTGACTGTATTCAAGCAACCTCACTGAGTCAGTTTTCACACCTGGGATCGGAGATAATACCAGTACCCACTATGCCCATTAGGGTTATTATAAGAATTGAATTATGCATGGCATGCATTTAGCATAGTGCCTGGCACCTGGTCAGCACATGGTAGCCAGGCCTGCCCATCTCCCTGAGTAGCAAGAGATAAGGGGCTGATGTAGCCAGTAGGAACTGTGGCTTCTGGAAAAGAGGGCAGAATTCCAAAGCAATGCTGCTAATATAGTCTGACCTGAGCAAAGGCCTAGGGACGGCCTCTGGACAGAAGAGGCCATCTTCTCTGTCCCCACCCCCACCCTGTGACCTAATGACCTCCCCTGGGTTTCCCCCAGCTCTATGGCTACTGCTACCAGGACAGCGAAGACATCCCGGACACCCTGACCACCATCACGGAGCTTGGTGCCCCTGTGGAAATGATCCAGCTGCTGCAGACTTCCTGGGAGGATCGATTCCGAGTGAGCAGGGAGGAGGGCAGGGTCCCGGGCTTCTTGCTAGAATGATTCTCCCTTAGAAGGCCAGCCTTCCCCAGCTGCCTAGACTGATCCTCAGCCTGAAGAGGGAGGGAAGGAAGGAGCACAAGCTGGCTCTACCACAAGCCAAAGGGTTAAAAAAAAGCAGCAAGACGGTGCAGTAGACTCACACCTGTAATCTTAGCCACTTGGGAGGCTGAGATCAGGAGGATTGAGGCTCCAGGTCAGCCCAAGCAAAGAGTTCATGAGACCCCATCTGAAAAAAAAAACAAAACAGAGCAAAATGGACTGGAGGTGTGGGTCAAGTGGCAGAGCACCTGTTTTGCAAACATGAAGCAACCCTGAGTTCATAGCTGTCTCGCCAAAAAATAAAAAGAAAAAGGAGTGAGATGGGATCCTGATGTGTGTGCTCTTGCTGTCCTCACCCCTCTGCACATACACACACAACCAAATGAAAAACCTGGGACCATGAACAACCTTAAGGTCATCTGACCCTCACTCTGATCCCATACACTGAACTGAAACCACAGTTGAGATGTGGCTTTAAAAAAGAAGAGATTCATTACCCCAGATCCTTGCTGCCATCTCTCTCCTATTACACCTGCATGATCAGGCCAGCCAAGAATTAATTGAAAATCAGAGGCCTCCTCTCTAAGGCCCCTGGACCAAACCTTTATGGAGCACTAGGGCCTACAGAAGAGAAAGGTCAACCTCCCAGCCAGACCCCTTAAGAAGGGAGGGAGCCCAGAGTACAGGATTCCAACAGGCCCAACCCAGAGTGTATCTGCCCTCAGATCTGTCTCAGCCTCGGCCGCCTTCTCCACCACCTAGCCCACTCTCCACTGGGTTCAGTTACTCTGCTGGACTTCCGTCCTCGGCAGTTCGTGCTGGTGGATGGGGAGCTGAAGGTGACGGACCTGGATGATGCTCGCGTGGAGGAGACACTGTGTGCAAGTAGTGCTGACTGCATACTCGAGTTTCCAGCCAGGAACTTCACCCTGCCTTGCTCAGCCCAGGGCTGGTGCGAGGGCATGAACGAGAAGAGAAATCTCTACAATGCCTACAGGTGACCACTGCCCACTCTCTAGCTCTGGCCAGGGAAGGTGGGCCTGGAAGGGTATGGCAGTAGGAGAGCCAACATGGGGTTTGGGAGGCAGCTTGACCAATGGAGCTGTGGGGTGGGGAGAGCATTCCATCAGTCAAGAGGGAATGCTCAGGCTTCTGATGCTGAGGCTAAAAATAGACTGCTCCAAGGAGAAGCAGGCCTGGAGAGGGCAGCTGGAGTCTTCTTAAAATAGAGTCAGACTCAGGGCCAAGACTGAGGGCCTGGCATGTCCCCCCCACCGTGGCTCTTGACCTCTGCAAAGCTCCTCATGGTTGAGAAACCCAACCATGGGGTCAGTCAGGGGACAGTGTGGACTGGAAGACAGGGATGGGTTGGCACACAGGCCTCAGGTCTCAGTTTGGTCTGAACTTAAGTTGTAGTCATAGCTGTGCCCAGACCCATGCCCAAGTCTGAGTAGATTCCCTGGAACACATTGTGGGGTGTGCCTGGTCACTAGGAATGAGGAATCAGGCTCTCTAGCTAGTATGGTGACCACTTCTAGTCTGGGTAAAGGAAGTATGTGTTCCCAAAAGATGGACCCCTGAGCCCCTGGTTTCTCTCTGCCACAGGTTTTTTTTCACATACCTCCTGCCTCACAGTGCCCCACCCTCACTCAGACCTCTACTGGACAGCATTGTCAATGCCACAGGTGAGCCTTGGGGCCCATCTGCTTCCCATCACCTTCCCTTCACCTTCCCTTCTCCAAGAAGTGGGGGCAAGGATGACCCTGGGCAGCACAAGGTCAGAACCCATCATTTCCTGAGGCAAGGTTGGTTCTGTGGCAAAGGCCCTCCCCAGGCCACAGATCATCTGGCCCAAGCCCTAGCTGGAGGGAGGGGAAATAGCTGGCTGCTTAGTGTGGAAGGAGTAGAAGCCCAGGCAGTCTGTCAAACCCACACTGCACTCTGCAGGAGAGCTCACCTGGGGGGTGGACGAGACCCTGAGCCAGCTAGAGACGGTGCTGCACCTGTACCGGAGCGGGCAGTATCTGCAGAACTCCACAACAAGCAGCAGTGCTGGTGAGTGGCACCAACAGGGACCCAGGGGCTAGAGAGGTGGGAAAAGGTGGGAGAGGCAATGACAAGCCTCCGCCACCCCAACTGGGCTAAGTGGCTCACTTCAAGTGATGCAGAGACTGTAGGACCTTCACTTTGAGAGCTCATGCCTGGTGGAGCTAGAACAACTATCATTCTGCCTTGAACTGGGGAGTGGGCCCTGACACTCCTGTGGATGGCCTCAAACTCCTCCATCCAGTGGCTGTCTGACTTACCCCTGGGGCCTCACTTTCTTCATCTGTGAATTGGGTTCAATATTACTCACCTCACAAAATTCTTCTGAGGATTAAATGGCAGTTGAGGTGTGTAAAAGCAATTAGCACAGTTCCTGTTGCACAGCTGGAGCACAATGTATGTTTGCTTCTCTTTCCTTCCTCTGCACTGCTGGGGCTAGAAGGCCAGCTGGAGGCAGAGGGGGCCCTACTCTGAAGCCAACCAAAGAGGCTGGTTCTCCCAGGGTCAGAGAGGATTCCATCCATTGGTTACAGGCTGTGGACCCTCTGCAGAAGCCTAGGGTTTAGTGTGGTTGGCAGGGGGCAAGGGTGGGCAGCTCAGTATTCAAGGAGCCTTGGCCAGTCTTAGGGGTGGGGGAGCCCTCGTTAGCCCTGTAAATAAAGTTTAACGAGGTGAACAATGGCTGGCTCTGTCCCTGAGGACGCTGTTTATGGGGCCATAAATCACAGCCAGCCCTGGACTTTGGTCTAGCCCCTGGCAGGAGAAGGAGGCTGGAGGGTGGGGTGGCCAGAGGCCCAGGGCTTCTGCATTATCAGTCCAAAACCGGCTCCTGGTACAGTGAAAAGATGGGGTGAACAAGCAGCCTACAGCTGAGACCCTGTAGCTCTCTGAATTATGGGGAGGCATCCCTCCACAAACACTCCAGCTATGGATTTTTTGCATTTCATCTTCATTTACATGCCTCCTAACCTAAAACTCCCTGACTGCTTCCCCCAGGCTTACCTGGGGGAAGCTTACCTGTCCCCAAGGCCAGGAGAAGGTGCGACAGGGGTGCTCTGAAACCCTGCCACTCACTGTGACCTGCATACCAGCAGCACCAGAAGCTGGTTAGAAATGCAGATTCTCAGGCCCCGCCCCAGACCTCCTAAACAAGAATCTACATTTTAACAAGATTCCCTGGGGATGCACATGCCCAGTGATGTTTGAGAAGCCAGGCTTAAAATGTCTAAAGTGCCCTGACCTCAGCAGCCAGTCTGGATAGCTGCAGTGTGTCTGTCCCATGCATGTGCCTGCTTATCTTCGGCTTGAACTAGCTGCATTGCCTTAGATTTGAGAGATGTGTCTCTCCCCAAATCCAAGTCCCTGTTTGGTCTTCAATGAGCAATCGACTGGGTTTGAACCGCATTGGCTGCTTTTATCTTAATGCTACAGGCACTACCCTGGATGTCAATTTTCACCTAGCAAATGAGTCGTGCAGCCCTATTCAGAAAGTGGCCCCAGCCCTCACCCTGGGCACACACAGTTCTCACTATGTGTCATTCTCACTCCACAGACTACCAGCGCATCCCAGACAGCACCATCCCACAGGAAGACTACCGCTGTTGGCCATCCCACCACCATGGCAGCTGCCTTCTGTCTGTGTTCAACCTAGCTGAGGCTGTGGACGTCTGTGAGAGCCATGCCCAGTGCCGTGCCTTTGTGGTCACCAATCAGACCACTTGGACAGGTGAGCCAGCGGGAGAAGGCCTTCCAAGGGTATAGCTAGATTTCTTCAAAGGAGGTTGATAAGTACTGGGTCCTCATCAGAAGCCAGAGAGGAGGTTGAGATGATGAGGGAGAGCTGTCCTCAAGGCTGTCACTCTTATCTCTGCCCTCAGGTCGAAAGCTGGTCTTTTTCAAGACTGGGTGGAGCCAAGTGGTCCCTGACTCCAGCAAGACCACATATGTGAGGTTCCCTAGTTGATCTGTCAAGGTCTCAGCTGACCATTGTCGCCAGCTGGGCTTGCCTGCAGCAGGAGCGACTTGCACTAGCAGCACTGTGTGTCACCTGGGAACTCCTGAAGACAGGACTGACGTCCCAGACAGACCCATGTGACCAGGACAAACGTGCAATAATGCAAAATGTTAAAATGTGAGCTGCCAGCCTAAGTCTTAAGACTGCTGGTTCCCAGACCAGAGTCATTGGCTGGGAGGCTGACTGCCCCTCTGGCACTCTGGCTGCCACCAAGACTTAGGCTAGTCTGAACTGGGACAATTCTGTGGGCAGCCCTGTCAGTGTGTTTATAGTGTGAGAATGTAGCCAGAGCCCTGCTGCTGCTGCTGCTGCCGCTGCCACTGCTGCCACATGCCACGGAGGGCGGGGCCACATGGGGACAATCGGTCACAGAGTGTCCTCTCAACTCAGTTCCAGATGGGAGACTCACTGGGAGGATGCTCCAAGATGTAGGTGATCCAAGAGGTGGAGGCCAACTCTGGCCTCCCAGGCCAGCCAAAGGGTCAGGAGTAGCAGCACACACATCCATATGAGCCAAGACTAGGGTGAAGGAGCAGGTTGCGTTTGAGCCAGGACCTGGGGCGGGGGTGGAGCCGGGGCCTTTCTGCCTCATTTGCTTTCAGTGAAAGCCACAAAGCAGCCCAAACCAGGCTCTTCCCCTCCTGGAGTTTGCATATACAGAAGCTTTTGTACTTCTTGTTCATTAAATTGTTTATTTTTGTAAAAAAGAAAAATCACTTAATAAAATGATGTTTCATGACAAAAGCTCTTCTCTAGCCATGGTTTCTTGGACTTACTGGTCCCCAGTTACATATTTGGTGTGTGTCTGTGTGGTCATGTGTGTTATGGAGCAAGGTGATCTTTGGGGAGTGAAATCTCAGCAGCAAACACTGAAGATGCCAAAATGCTTTTTCAGACCCTGCTTCCAAGGTGCTCACCCCCCACTTTGGCCCTCCACATCAGTTCCTCACAAAAGACATGGAACCTCTTTTATACATGGAGGTTCTCATTTTAACACATTCCAGCTTCTATGTACAAAGCCCTAACCCAAAGGAGTGCAGGCCTCATGGTGGGATGTCGGCCACTTGGTTAACTGGAGGAGAAATAGTTCAGGAAGGAGTGGTTGGGGGCAGGTCAGGATCGAAACTGGCCACCATCGCCATGGGCAAAGTTCATGGGTACTTTCCTTTTTAGGAGCTTTTCTCTAGGCAAGAAATATATGGAAAGAGGGGAGAAAGGAGGGTATATGGAAAGTTCAACCTCCCCTTTCTGGGGTTTTAGCGGGGGAAGGTCTAGCAGGGGTGTATGGATGCCCAAAATGCGCGCAAACACGCGCACACACACACACACACACACACACAAACACCTTAGGGTTCAAGATCACACTGAGACCAGAGAGAGCCTGCAATGTGAATGCAGGTCTTCTAACTTGCAATCCCACATCCTCTCTCCTGCACACCTTCTGCTTCCAGGCGGAAACCTTTGAAGGCTTTACAAAGGGTAAGCACACTAACTCAAGCTAGTTTCTCCTCAGCAGATGTGGTTGGTGTCATTTCTCAAGTACAAGCTGTCCCTATTGTTCTAAGTTACTGAGGATCTGATACTAGCTCTGGGGTCCTCATCATGGACACTGCTCTGACCCTCAAGGTGACACCCTTTCCATCCTTAGCCTCCCACACCCTACATCTTGCTCTGGTATCTGGACTTATGATGGTAGGTGGAAGGGAGAGTCAGAGCCTTCACAGAACCTCATATCATGACTCAACCCAGCCAAGACCTGCCTAAGCTGACTACCCTCAGGTCTCATTCCACTGAGAAGGATCTCGGCTTCCATCAGCCTCCAGACTTCTGTCCCCAGCCACAATGTGTGTATGCCATCTGGTATTAGATTTTGCACAGCTCTGATACTCTCTGTCATCTAGCCTATGGAGCCCTGAGGGCAGAAGGATCCATGCCACCAAGTTGGGCCCAAAGAGGTGTCAGAATTGATGAGAATCTGATGGATGGCACAAGAGAACTGATGAAGTCTCACAGTCCTGAGAAACACAAAGACCCAAAGAAAGGCCCACAGGGCCCAGGGTACACGTGACTCAGTAAGGAAAGAGAAGATTGAAGATAGACCAGTACTGCCTTCCTAGCTTTGAAGGGCTTCCAGACAATAGGCTCAGCAGCCCATGGAGAGGGGCAGAGGAAAATGAGACACACAGAGGGCCAAGCTCTGGCCTCAAGGAGGTATAACAATTCCAATTTTACAGACCTAAAAACTGCAGCCCAGGTCACAGCTGTGGAGTGATTTAGTGAGCATGCAAATCCAGTCCTAATTCACAGCCCAGGCTATGTTCCTGCCTCCCAACCACAGAGCTGCAGCCAGAGGAAACCAAACTAGAGTTAGAGAACCCCTTCTGACTTCAAGTGTGTAACAAATTAAAATGGAGATCCCAAGGACATAAAATCTTTTTAGAAAGACTAGCAGGTGACCAAAGGGATGGTTGGTAGCTTCTCCCTCATAGAATGAGACTCAGAACCCCTTTCTGGGAGCAGAAATGGTCAGGCTCAGTTCTACAGGATTGAGAGAAGGACATTTGCCACTGGATGGAGTGCCCAGAAAGAAGGCATAGTGAGTGGAGGCCTGAAGCAAAAGATTTTCTGCCCCAGATGGCCACTCATATGGAGCCACTTGCCTCCTGGGGAACTATCAGTTCCTGGGTACATCTTGTTCTCCTTCGTGTGGAAGCCAGAACTGTATCCCACCACCCGCTCCCCCCAAAGACTATGCTCATTCTATTCCTGCAATCCTAGAGATGCCCAGAGGTAGTGGATAAAAGGAAATCTATTCCACCTCCAGAAACCGCAGATGACATATGTCAGGGGAGGGAAGTGGGAGAGAGGAGCAGAAGAAGGGTCCTTTCCAGAGTGGAGGAAGTAGGAAGCAATATGAAGGAGCCATATTGCCTAGTAGTTACTGTGAGGCTCCTGAGCCAGGCCACTCTGGGCAGGAGCCCTAGACAGCTGTACTTGTTGCTCATTGTGTTATCTAGCTGTGATCACTTCCCTGAGCCTCTGTCCCCTCATCTACAAATTTCAGATTGATAACATCAGCTTCACAAGATCATCATGGGAACTGAATAAGATTTTATACATAAAGATGTTAGTGTGAGCAAACAGTAAGTGTTTAGGAAATGTTGACTGATACTGTCATTGTAATATTATTAGTAAAGTGAGCTCTTAATATTCATCCATGGTCTGGCTTAAAAGAATAACCAGGTCTGTTAAGGAGGACCAAGGCACAGCCAACTGCCCCCACCCCTGCCTGAAATTCACACCCCCCCCAACAGAGCACTAGTGTTGACTAGGGTAGGTGGGGCCCAGCTGCCCGGGTCAGTGCGCTCGGAGTTGAGTGTGTGGCATACAGAAGGAGGAAGAGGATTAACGTGAAAGCAGAAAATGGGATTAGGAGGCCTCAAGATAATGTGCCCACTCCCCACTCCACCCCACCCCGATCGTGACAACAGCTTCTTGCTTTCATTCTGTAGCTTCTGGAGCCGGAGCATGTAAGACAAGGTTGCCCCTGCTCCCAGGGCAGAGCCCAGAAAGGAGACTTGGTGGACTCCAACTAGGAGACTACTCAGTTTGCTGGGAAGAAGGCCTGGACTGCTCTTGGCTGCTGGTCAGGCCTGGCTTCCCATATGTGCCTTTGTCATTTAATTCTCATGGCAGCTGTGGCCCATAGAGGTGAAGAACCAAGATCCAAGCCCGGGCTACTGCCTCAGGAAACCCACATTCGTTCCCCTCCACCCAGCACAGTGTCACCTAAAGATCAGTATCACCAGCAATCAGTGATCATTATACCTGCTACTGCCCCTGAGAAGGATTCCCAGACCCACACCCTGCCATTCGTGGAAAGTCCCACAGGCAATTGGAGAGCAG